GTATATCAATGTCAGCTGTTGCTTGGAGTCTCCCCCTCTTCTGACTCTATTGGAGAAATCTAAAGCATCACAATGAATGTTTACACAATTAACGATCCTTGTGATTATACATGTAGAACTCTATGGACGGAATCTTTCTCCTTTTAGCATCAGTTGTGGCTCCCAGAGCCATACAGAAGTTCTGTGGTACTCTGCAGACTGAATCTAGTGCAGTCTGTGTGTCAAAAGCAGTGTCCCTGCCATGTTACTCCCTTTGCTGAGGACTGACAACATTCACATGGTCTCCCTGGAGCCCACACACCATCTGCAAAGACATTCCTGGAATGGCGAAACCCCAAGGTTCTTGAGCTGTTGGGACACCATAGCACAACTGAATTTATGCTCTACTAAGCTGCTCACAAGCATGTTATTATCATAGTCCTTATCCCCATGACTGCATGCTGTGTCATAAACGTGGAACAATTCTTTAATTGTAAGGAAATACTCTGATAATTTCTCGCTAAGATGCTGATGATACCCAATGCACCACTTACTGTGATAAGGAGAAAGTGGCTGTACTTCATCAGAGTGAATCTTCTTTATGGCAATTTCTCTATCAATGGTGAGTCAAAAGAAAAAAAAGTGCAAGAAAGGAAAGTTTCTGTATTCTGAGTCATTTTGAAACCACCATCCCACTTCCAGACTTGTCTGTCCTGTATGATAGATGTGATAGTGTCTCAAGATATATTGGAAGCATCATATTTCTCTTTTACTATTCTGCTTGAAGGAAAAAAGACAAATTATGCCTTGTGAAGAAGCCATTTGCTATAAAGTGTAAAAATGCTTTAATATTAATATTTTATAATAAAAGTCATGACATATTTATAAACACTCTATCAAGCATTTACAACTGAACCACAGCTGAGAGCTTGGACTGGAATAAATAAGCAAGGACACAGCTAGTATGAAATATACATCTTAATTTTTATAATTGTGTGTGCTTTATTCTTTACACAGATGGAATGGATGCGCAGAGTATTTACACATAACAGAAGTGTAAGCTGGACAGGGTATTTTGTAAACTCCAGTTCAGATTTTGAGAACCCCACACTACAGCTGGACTGAGAAACTTCCCACTTAAAGAGACGCACGCTGGCCAAAGTGCCAGATGGAGCAGCTTGGGGAGTATAAGCTGCTGCACTCAGAAATTTGGACAGGTTGATTTAAATTTAGGAGCACAAATCCAGAAGTTAAAAGGTTTGCTACCCCACTAAGAGCCATCAGTGTTGCCTTTTTAATTTTTTTTTTTTTTTTTGCTTTTTTCAATGCTTTTTTCCCCCCTGCCCAGAGATCTTGTCTAAGATGCTGGCTACTGCCCATCCCCAGAAATTGTTTTACATCAGGGCAAGTTGCCTGTGCTGTAGGTCAGGGCCAGACGGCATAAGCTGCTAATGTGGTGTGAGAGATGATGGATTGCCTCTCATGCTTCTCACCTTAGAGAGCCTCAAAAGGGTCAATGGGGTGGTGGTTCCTATTGCTCTTGGTGAGATGACAGTGGGGCTGAAGCCTCCTGCAAATCCGTTTGGCCCAGGGGATGTCTTTTTGTTCAGCAATTTCACAGCACCTACCTCAACAGGATCTTGATCCATGACTGGCCCTCTGGGTTCTACAGTAAAATAAGTAGTATATAATGATGGAAAGTGCTGAGCTCCTGTTTAATCAGGTGGCCTTGGTGTTCTACAGTAATGCCTAAAAATCAGTATAATGAGGAGGATGGATGTTTAACTTCAGGTGGTATAAATGGGATGGATTCCACTGAAATCAGAGGAGTGACCATGATTTACACCAGCTGAAGATCTAGGTTAGCTATATGCCGAATAGATTTTGGATGTTATTTGCTGTTAGCTTTGATGCTGATTTGTGCCCTAGAATGGGAACCTTTTTTTAAACATAATGACAACCTCCTTCTTATTTCAGAACTAATTGACAAGATGTCTGATATTTAATGGAATAGGAAAATATGTTTATTCCACCAAGGCATGGGCTTGAGCACTTGAATGCAGTTGCACAGTGAACCACATGCATAACATGGCAGGCAAAATGTTCAAGAGGAAAAATATTGAGATTAAAAGCTGTGAAGGATGAAAGACCACTTTCTGTAAACACAGCAGATATTATGGCTTTAAATCTGCAGCTGAAAAAGAAGACTGAGACTTTTTTCATGAACACTGGTTTTCCTACAAATATCCTCGTGTTGTCACTCACTGAATCCTATGGTCAGGGATACAATTTGAAAATAAAACCCCCCAAAATATAAGAAAACCAAACCAAAAATACAGTTTGACTGAGTGCTGATGGGCGAGTAACAGTGAAGTTGTAACACCAACAATTTCTCCATAGAAAACTAATGTAAATAGGTAGGTGGATGTTGTATACCTAGGACACTGTCACTGGCTCGTAGTGGTTATTAGCTCAGGTTCCACACTGCTCTCCAGGATGAGGATTTGAAATTTCAGTGCAACGGAGAGATTTCTTATCCTTGACTTTCACATAGTGCTTCCTAGGACCCTATCCACACCGGAGCATCAGACCATGCTAGCTACAAACACAATTACATCACAGAATATTGATCTAGAAACAGCCTTTACTACCAAAGAAATTACAAAGCGCTAGCATGGACAGGGTACCTCTGTAGAAAGGGGGATTAAGCAAGAAAGAGGCTCTTTCACTGGTTGATGGTCAGACAGTAAGACCAGTGAAAAGTGCCATTTCACTGAGCCCTGTTAGCAAGCTCTCAATGAGTCAGTGCATGGAAGATTTTGTTTTTTGTGGCAAGTAAAAATAATTAGGTTGTAATATTGCACATCTGCACAAAGCTAGCAAGATGTCATTGTGATCATTCATGGGTGGACAAAAAGCTGTGATAATTTTGATTTTGCTTAGACCCTACGGTGCTACACACTGTGCCAGAACATGAGATATAGCACCAGGGGTGTGATCTGGCACTTTTCCCAAAGGGTCCAGCATTTGCATTTGTCTCATGTTTAGACTCTCCCAAGTCTTTTACATGGACAGAAAAGGAATCTGATTACGCTAAGCTGTGTTAGCACCAATATGGACTTGGGCGCCAATTGCTGTGGGTTGTGAGTTTGGACTTTTTCTTTTTTGCACCAGATGTAATTTTGCATGAATGTATGTTTCTCTTCCTCCTCCCACTACCACCCAGTATGATCTGAACAGCTGCAATGCAAAAATGGACTGCAGCTCTGAGGATGCTAAAACATGAAACGCAAAACATCAATGCACAAAACAAATGGGAGTACAAGTCCTAAGGGAAATAAGACCTCTCACTGCTTCTCTTGACAACTTGTTTTTAAATATGTTTTATTTAAAAAAAAAAAAAAAGGAAGTGCAATGTCAACTCTAAACTGGAAGCACAAACAACAGACAGGGAAAAATAAATTATGTTACTACAGTAACCAAGGACTGATGGAAAAATTGATTGTACTCAGCCATAGTGTTACTGTTCACCGTAAAGCACAGCACATGACAAAGCAAAACAGTTACTAGTAGGATAGTACTGTAAAAGGCTTCATGCTGAACTAAGAAACAAAGAAGCAGATGTGATTGATTGCTTAAAAACAGAGCTGAAAATTAGAATGAAGTTCCTGCTTTAGGATACTTGTTTTTTTCAGGTCTGGTGGACTATTTCCCCACCTGGGGCAATAGTACTTTGCCAGCATGGAAAAATCCATGGCTTCCAAAGATCTGGGGTCACTCTGTGGATTTCTGCAGAATTGTTCAAAATCAAAGCGTTCATTAATTTATCTTTTGTTTTAAAAAAAAGTTTCTAGCCCTTCTGGTTACAAAGCTCTTGTGGAGACTTAACTGAAACCCTTGTTTATAAATCTGCGCTGGCCAGGCAAGAAAAATAGTAGTTAGAGAAGTGTGAACTTCTCGAAGTTACCTTAGTTGGGCAGTAAGCTTAAGAGGCCCCCTCAGAGCCACTAAAATGCCCATATATTAACCCTGTCACTGCTGGTGGCTTTTGCAAACATCCAGCTCATCACGCTGTCCGCGGAGTTTGGCTGGGTATACCTGTCATCTCGACAGGGTGCAGAAATGTAAGCTTCAAATAGACAAGTAACAGAGGAGTCTATTTAGCGTTTGCCCTTAAAACATCCTTAAGTGTTAGGGTTACTGTAGCCACCAGCTATAAGCAGACTCCTGCAGTGCAGCAGGCAGGAGTGTGGGTTTTATAGAGAACATGGTCCAGCAGCAGCAAAGGCAATTCAGTTTACTGTCATAGCATCTGTTGCAGTTGTCCCCTTGTGAGTCAGAGTGAAGAATGGCATCAGTATACAGAGGAAGGGCAATGCAAAGCAAGAAAAAATACCTCCTTCTCCCCTTCTATGCACCCTAAACTGCAATTCCACAGACTTTCCCCAAATCCCTCACAAATGTCCATTGCCTCAGTTTTTGCTTTTAAGACCCTTGTTGACTGTGAAACGAATGAAGATACAAGTTAGTTGGTGACCTGCCTGCAAAGAGAGGAACGATCAAATGCTTTAGGTATTTCATTGAAAGAAACAGGAAGAATCATAAAACATTTGGGGGTGAAAGGTGCCTCCCTCCCAAGAGAGAAATTATTGATTGCATTCAAGCACCGACATTTTGCTTCTGAATAATCATTCATTTCAATTTAAAGATGCATTATCCTTTAGTGTTCAGAAAAGGTCCTGCAGGGCAGTCAGTTCAAGACATCTTTCCACAGGAGTCCATCATGATTAAATATAGGCAAGGGAGAGGATTAACTTGAGAGAAAAACAAGATGACAACTACAATTTAAGGAATTATCTTGCTTGTCATTAATAATAGAGAATCTGTTGTGGAAAAGGGATAATGCAACTTGATGGTCCTCTTTACATTTTACAGTCGCACAAGGGTGTAAATATTTAATCTTTCAATTAATTAATCTTTACAAAATATCTTCACAAAAACATTTTTACCTATAGAAATTAGTTTCTATACATCAATATATTTTTATTTTTATAAATTATTCCATCTTTAAGTGCCTTCTAGCAATAAAAATGATAAAATAGACAATCAAAAGTTTTAAAGCTTTTCCCAGTTGTATCCCTCCTTGTCAACATAGGTGCTGTGAATCCTCATACATGTGTGTGTCCGCATGGGAATATGTTTGTGTGCATATACGTGTGATGTGAAATGCTTCCATCCTCTCCCACCCCCAAACGCCATTAAAATGAACCATATTGTTATTAGTTCCTGATAAAACAGTGTTTCCAAAGGGGAAAAAAAGCAATGCTTGACTTGGTTTCAGAAATCAAAAGATGTGCATAGTTACCAAAGTCGAGGTGTACCAACTACAAATGTGCAATGACAAGCTTAGAAAAGGACCCACCTCCCAGTCAAGTCACAGAGCATCCTAACAGTGACCTCAGTAAGAAGTGGACCAAGTACTCTGAGCTTGATTTTGCAAGGTGCGTATGGCCCTGATCTAGCAAAAACGCTTAAGCCTGTGCTTAGCTTTGAGCACATGAATAGTCCTACTGGAACTGATGGGACTGAACAGCATAGGGAAGGATCACAAGTGACTCCAAGTCAACAGGCTACTCGTGTAGGAATTGGGGTCAAGTGCTGAGCGCCTTGCAGGATCAAGCCCTATATGAGGTTCAAGAGCTGGGAACTTCTCTTTAAAGCAATCAAAACACTGAGCTCAGCCATTGAAATCGATCAAAATGTCCGCATGGGCACAGGAGGTGGCTAGCTCCCCTTGACAGAGGGTCTCCATGTCAAAAGTTTATACCTACAACTGGTGCTCTGAGCACAAAACAGATTTGCTTTATATGGTAGAAGTCTTTTTGTTCCTACCCTTTGACCCATCAGTGTCCTTCATGGCTTCAAACACTTTGTGTTGTACATTCATCAAAATTCACATTGACTGCAAAGAACATAAATGCAACAAAAACAGGAAAGCCTCCAAATAGTATATTATAATTTTCTTCTAAATATTCTCCCGTTGTAATCAGAGGTGCAGTGGCTAATTTATAATTTTTCCTTTGAAGGAATCCAGATGAAAGGCCCAGATTGTTCTTCAATTACAAGTTTGCATTGATTATATATATCTTCTAAGCTATCTCCTTGGACAATAGCTGCAGTAGAGAAAACATATCAATACTTCTTTTAATTGATAGATACAACACCCAGCATCAGCAAATTTTCAGCACACTCATAGATACTGATGGAATGAGAAGGAATACTGGCATACTGTGATGTTGATTATGGAAAAGTCATACCCCCACAGATGACAACTAAGTTCAAACCAACGGCACCTGCCTATGACAGAGACCCATCCCACTGCTTGTACCAAGAAGACTGAGCCAGGTTAGTTCAGAGAACCAGCAGGTTGGTCCTAGGGGAGGGCAGCACAGTAGGTTCCCACTGTTGCAAGTCAAGCCTTACATTTCATTTGATTTACAAACTACCTCAGCAGTGGGCAGCAGCACATTTACAATCTGCTCTTTTTCTGACTTGGTTCTAATAAATTCAGTCTTGGCTGCAAAAGTTAGCCAGATCAGGCCCAAGCTGACAAAAGGTAAAGCAACTGCAACGCAAAGCACAGTGTCTTTGCTCCTAATTCCTTGTTCCCCCAGCAGAAATCTGGAACTGCAGGTCAGATTATGCACACTGTCAGTATGTGGAAGGACAACTGGGGGCTTCTGAGTATTGTCCACAAATACCAGTCCCCTGAGTGGGAAGCTTCCTAAACCTGCCCAAAGGAAATGCAGGACTTAAAAGAGCAGGTCCTAAAGCTTGCTCTTTTCCAG